TTAAAAGAAAATAAGTTGTCTGGGAAAGCATAATTAAATTATCAATTTAATATGTTTTGCACATTATAGAAAAAGAAAAAATTGACTTCATTTCATAGAACTATGAGATATGTAATAAAGGTAATTATCATGCAATGCAGTTCAACAATACCGTATCACCACCAAGCAGAAATTATCATGCAAAGTTTTAGTAATTACAGAATTTGTACTCTAACCAAACAAGAGCAAGGTTTACATAAATAAATTTTAGAAATGAGAAATGATGCATAGAACACTTCTGAAATAGCGTGCCATGATCCGTAAATAAAATCAGAATCAACGTACGTACCCTCACCCGCCCGCATAACTTTACTCTTGAATTTTGAGATTTCAAGTATCTATCATCCTAGCTAATTAAATCCTTATTCATTAACCACATTGAGAAACATACATTCCAAATACCCAACCTCTGAACTATCTACTTCCAATTTCAAAATGCAATTTTAGTCGCTGAGATGCAAAATATAAAACGAGAATAGACTCTATATAAGAAAAAATTAAAAACATAGAAACGAGAAATTTTAAAAAGAATGTAAAAACGTAAACGTAGAAAAAATATAATAGAAAAATAAAAAAAAATTAAGAGAAAAGAACATAATAAATTTACATAATTATGTCAATTTAACCTACTTTCATAAGAGAAAACGGATTCCATTATCTGAAAAATAAAATCAAGTCTTTATAATAGAATAATTCTATGCTCATCTCAGAAACTTTTTGATCTCTCTAATTGATTATTTGTTCCTCTTTACGTAACTTCTTCTCAACTTTCTTTGTTCATACTTTGCATTTTATTCTCACTCTTTTTCTCTTAGTGTTGCACTAAGATTCCCAAATATATATATATATATATATAGAAAGAGGAATCCAAGATACTAAGATTAAATTCATCAAATTAATAAAGATAAATATTCAAAGTCTATAACAAAATTTAGTTACTGATTATAACAGTCCATACTTCATACCAATATATGGTTACTAAAAATAAATTGAAACATTTTTTAGACATATTTAATTCAATTTAATTAATGTCTATTACCATTAAAATTAACTGGGGGGAGATTTTAGGAAATCAACCTGAACCCTAAAACAAAAGTTCAGATATTAATGCAAGGAAAAAAGGGATTAATCCTATTCTTAGGTTTCCTTCCTTCTCATCTCTTCTAACTCAAGAAGATCATCTAACACCTTATCATCCAAATACTCAAACTCAATAACTTCCTTCCGTGGTGCAACAAAAGAACTTCCGTTGCCCTTAGTGGAAGGATTTGATAATACAAAAGGGAGATGAGAGAAATACTCATCAGGAAAATTAAGAATTGCAAGAGCACCCCTCAATCCAATGGCTGCACGATCATAAGCTCGAGCTGCTTCTTCTGCTGTGTCAAATGTCCCTAACCATTGTCTTCCCGTAGGTTTTGTAGGGTCTCTAATTTCTGCACCGTACTTACCCCATGGCCTCTTTCTCACACCACGATACCTCACTTCTTCACCTCCTCTCTCTTTTTCTTGTTCTCCCATATGTGCCTCCTCCATTTGTTACCTACTCTTTTTTTAAAAACTTTGGTCACTTTAATGTGTCACTTATGCACTTATGGTTATGCTTTTTAATGGTATGCATATATAGAAAGCGTATATATATGTTACACTTGTGTCGCCTTTTGAGATTTTTGGTTTCAGTTGGTCTCTATTGACTTGATTCTTGGCTTTCTCGAGGAAGTGTAAAAGTTCGACTCTTCTTTGACTGGCTTATATGTAATATTGAATGAATCAGAACTGGAATAGAAATATATGGACAGGGTCCATTTAATGTATAAATTAAGCCATATGATGTGCATAGTTCGTCATTTTAACATAATACTTTTAGAGTTCTTGTCGAGTAGGTGCAAAGTGAGGTGGCGACTGGGTCGAAATAAAATTGAGTGATGATTTATTTTATTATTTTGGAATTATAGATCGTTTAAATTACTGTAGAATGATAGAACCCTGTATCAGCGACAGATCCTCAAAGTTTTGAATAGCGGAGACAAGATAATATTTTTTATTTTAGACGAGCAAATAATTTGAATGATTAGAATAAAGTTAAAAACAATAAAACTTAAATAAGAATATTATATTATCATAGTGTTAAAAAAATTGGAATTCAGTGGAGAATGTGCCCGTATTACCTTACGTAAGTCCATACATTTTCATTTTGTTTTATGTTTCTAATTTAAAAGATACATGATAAAATTATTCCTTTTTCCTTTGAATACAAAACGTGGTAAAAATATATAAATAATAGAATAAAAATTGTTTAATACTTTTCTTTTTATTTTATACCATTCCAAAATTGTTAATTCTTTTTCATCTTAGGTACAGAAACCCACGACTTAACTAATCCAAAATTGCTGTAGATCATATATATTTTTTAATAAGGATGCTGTAGAACATATTGGACTTGCGGTGTTAATGATTTGATTTGACATTGATATCATTCAAGTTGATCCGGTGTAGGTGATTTGACCTGAATTGTATTATGATTCGATTTGTTTTCTTTTTCGAAAATAACTTCATAACCATTTAAATATAAAATCAAACTTATGAAATTTATTTTTCTTTTACAAAATTTTTTTTAAGATAAAAAAAATTATAAAAATAGTCACAATGAAAATTGAATTTAAATTTTCATATTTTTAATTATCCTAACTCTTATTTTTGTTTTTATTTTAATTTAGTACTGTTAATAATTTATTTTTATAAAATTTTCTATATTTTATATTTTTTAAGAGAAATTTTACGATATCTTTAAAAATTTAAAGGGTTTCAAAACTGTTTTTGATTTTTAAAAAATATGTACTCTTTTTAGAAC